GCTGCATGACTTCCGAGGCCAGGTCAAAAAAGGCAATATGGCTTCTACCTGGCTCTTGCTTTCTCTCAGGATGCCTGCCCTTGGAACCACACCACCATTACGTGAAGAAGCCTATGCATCATGGAAAGGCTGTGTGTGTATATTCTGACCAATAACCCCAACTAAGCACTCCGTCAGCATCAATGCCTAAAAATGTGGGAAAACAAGACTTCCAATGGTACCTAGTCTCAGTCTTCAAGTTTTCCCGCTGAGAGCCCAGACATTATGTAGCAGGGGCAGGCCATCTCCCCTGTATCCTAACTGACTCAAAGAAACCACGAGAAATAATCCATAATTATTATTTTAAGCCTCTAAGTTTTGGGAAAATTTATTATGCTGCAGTAGATAAATAATACATCCTTACTCACAAGATTCTCAGAAAAAATTAAGAAGAACTTTGTGATGAAATTTGGGCTAATTATATTTGAAGCTTAAAGAATTGGGTCATATCTGTTTTCCTAGCACTCGTTAGATCTCAAGTACTATTCTTTGCACTCCGAGAGTTCTGTAGCCTGAAAGACAAAGGCTATCAGGGCCGGGAGGGGTGGGAAGCGCTGTGATCTGAATGTTTGTCTTCACAAAATTCCTATGCTGAAATCCTAACCCCTAAAGGTGATGGTATTAGTAGGTGGGGCCGTTGGTATTAGTAGAGGGTGCTTAAGTCATCAGGATAGGACCCTCATGAATGGGATTAGTGCCTTATAAAAGAGGCTCCAGAGAGATCCTTAGCCCCTTCTGTCACATGACAATAAGAAATACGTGATCCAGAAGAGAACCCTCCTGCAACCATGCTGACGTCCTGGTCTCAGACTTCCAACCTACAGAACTGTGAGAAATAAATCCCTGCTGTTTACCAATCCTTAAAAAAAAAAAAAGAACAAGAAGATTGGCAACAGCTGTTAGCCCAGGTGCCAATCTTTAAAAAAAAAAAAGAAAAGGAAAGAAAATCCCTGCTGTTTATAAGCTACATAGTTTGTGGTATTTGTTATAGCAGCCTGAACAGACTAAGGCAGGAGGGGAGTTGGTTCATCTTTCAGGAATAAAAAGGCAGACCACAAGGATAGCCAAAGAGAAAACACATGGCTAGACACACTAAAGAACTAATTCCTCCAGATTCAGCGATTTACTAATCACGTGACTGGAAAACTACTCTGTTTTGTGCCTCATTTTCTTCGTCTGTAAAATGAAGGTAATCCATGTTTATAATTTTTGAATTAATAGGCAAAATGCACATAAAGTGTTTAGCACAGTGTTGGGTACAGAATAAGCACTCTATAAATATTAGCTATCATTACTAATATGCTTAGCATGGCACCTAACACTAGGTAATGGTTTAGTAAATGGTAGCTGCAATTATTGTAGTGCTCCAAATGTTTACTCCAACATGCTAACCAATATCACTAAATTCTGCATTCCTAGGTCATGGCTATGTCTCTGGAATCTCCATAATAAGAGGACAGAATGTTCCGTAGCATATGGAATTGTCAGCTGATCAGTGCAACTAGTAAATTTGCCATAAAACTGAACTCATTCAAACTGTCCTGACATGAAGCAATTTGTTAACTATCAGCCCAAAGAGGCATTGATTCATCTCTGCACGTGTTGGAGTATAAATGGCAATTCTTAGAGATTGTGGTCATATATTCTGCCAACCTTGGAACATATACATAGCTTGGAGAATCTGTATTTCAAATTAGACTCTTGCATTTTGAGTACTTAGTTTCATTTATACTTAGCTATATGAAACTTTTGACTCTTCTGCAAAATAGAGCTTAAAATAGATCTCTGAGCATCTGATAGCTCTAAATTAACTCTCAGAACAGTATTTTGATGAGTAAAGCAGAGAAAACTCAGAAATTTCCCATAATATACACAATAAGTGGAGAATGCAAGTAAGTGGGTGTAGGAAAACAAAGAACCACATAGTATTTCTTTAATAGAGAAGACTTTTTTCAGGCTTTGGGTGAACTCATGGTAGGAAGGCCTAATTGTTCTACAATATTAGCAGGAAACATGTCCCAACTATAGGTGACACTTTCAATAGACTTACCAACTACGTAATTGGTCACAATATCTCCACTTAAAATCTCTACGCTGACTGCTCCCAGGAGAGATGGAGCAGGGAAGCTACACTAACTCAGGTGCTCTGTGTCAGTTCCTGTTTTATTGTTTTGTAATTTGAAATTTTAACTTCCTTAAAAGGTTAAAAATCTTCCCAAGATTAACTCACATTTTCTATATGTTGGGGAAAATATACAATAGAAGATTATCAGGCTCAAATATTCAACTCAATTTGTTGCTGTTATCTTTAATGTTACCAGCCAGGTGGATGCAACAAAATAAAAGGATTAAAGTGTCTGCTGGGGGTGAAATCAATTTTGCCCAAAAGATGTCTCAATGTGTATCCAACAGATTTTTCAACGACCTTAACAAATTGATTTTGAAATTCGTGAGTTAGAATAAGGTAGAAAATTGACATGCTTAATTTTTGCATATTTAAAATTTTTTCAACTCTATCATGGTGTACTTGAAGTACATTAAACAACACATATTTAAAGTGTATAATTTGATCAGCTTTGACATATGTAGATATCCATGAAATCATCACCAGAATTAGGATAACAAATATTTCCATCACCCCTGAAAGTTTACTTGTCATTCTTTGAAAGTCTTCGCTTCTTGTATCCCCCTCCACAGACAGTCACAGATCTCCTTTCTGTCACTATGAATTACTTTGCATTTTTTAGAATTTTATTTAAATGAAATCCTGGAGTATGTGCTCTTTTCTGCCTGCCTTCTTTCACTCAGCATAATTTTGAGACTCATGCATGTTGTTAGATATATCAACAGTTCTTTCCTTTTTATTACTGAGTCATATTCCCTTATGTAGATAAAACACAATTAGTTTATTCATTTACCTGTTGATAGACATTAGAGTTGCTTGTAGTTTGGGGCAATTGCAAATAGAGCTGCTATGAATATTTGTGTACAAGTCTTTGTGTGGACATTTGCTTTTGTTTCTCTTGCTTAAATACCAAGAATTAGAAGTGCTGGGTCACATGCTAAATGTAAGTTTAACCCTAAAAAACTGCCACCAATAGTGTTGGAGAACTCTAGTTGCTCCATATCCTCATCAATACTTGGTATCATCATGTTTTTTCAAATTTTAGTCATTCTAAAGTGTGTGTAGTGTTGTCTCCTTGTATTTGCATTTCACTGATGATTGATAATGTTAAGCATATTTTCATATGCTTATTGGCCATCCATATATCTTCTTTTGTGAAGCGTCTATGCAAATTTTTTAATCCATTTTCTTCCTAGCTTGTTTGTTTTCTTATTTTGGGGTTGTTAATGTTCTTTGGATATGTATAGCAAGTCCGTTGTCTGATATATGTGTTGTAAACATTTTCTCCTGGTCTTTTCTTTTTCAACTTATGAAGAGCAAAAGTGTTTTCATTTTGATGAAGTCCTATATATCTTTTTTTTTCATTTACGGTTTATAATTTCTACCTTCAATCTAAGAAAACTTTGTCTACTCCAAGGTCACAAAGATTTTTCTCCTGTGTTTTCTTCTAAAGGTTTTATAGTTTTAGATTTTATTCTTGGGTTTTATGTTTAGACCTATGATATATTTTGATTTAATTTTCATGTATACTGTAAGATAAAGACCAATGTTTATTTCTTCCATTAAGATAACCAGCACAATACGTTGAATGGACATTTGTTTCTCCATCAAATTGCCTTGGTATCTTCGTCAAATAACAATTGACCATATATGTGTAGGTCTATTTCTGGACCCTTTCCATTGATCTACATCTCAATACTTTCGCCAATACACCAATGTGTTTATTGTTGTAGTTTTATAATAAGTCTTTAAATCTGGTAGGATAAGTCCTCCAACCTTGTTTATCTTTTTAAAAATTGCTTTGGTAATTCTGTTCTTTGCATTTCCTTATGAATTTTAGAATCAGTTTTCTATTTCTACAAAAATAAACTGCTGGAATTTCGACTTGATTACATTGAATTTATATATCAGATTTGGTTAGAATTGCAAATTGAGCCTGCCAATGCATGAACACGATATATCTTTCCATTGACTTAGGTCTTCTTTGATTCCTCTCAGTGATGATTTTTAGTTTTCAGTGTTTAGATATTAGGCTCTTTTAGTCAGTTTTCCAATTATTTTCAGCTAGTACATAGGAATACAATTGATTTTTTTGTATACTAACCCTGCATCCCAAGACCTTGATGAATTAATTAGTTCTAATTCTAGCCAGTTTTTAGATTCTCCAGGATTTCCTGTAACAATTATATCTGCAAATAGGGATAATTTTATATCTTCCTTTCTGACCTTTATGCACTTTTTGTCTTTTTCTTGCCTTTCTTCACTGGCTAGGACATCCAGAACTATGTTTTGCAGAAATGATGACAGTGGGCACCCTTGCATCCTTTCTGATCTCAAGGGGGAGACAACCAGTCTTTCAACATTTAAGTATGATCTTAGCTGCAGTTTGTCTGCATGTTTGTTTGTTTTTTCATAGATGTTCTTGATGCATTTGAGGAAGTTCCCTACTATTCCTAATTTGATGAACATTTTTTGTCTTGAATGGGTGTTAAATTTTGTCAAGCATGCAAACATTTATTGAAATGATCATATGGTTTTTCTCCTCCATTCGATTAATATAATCCCTGAGGAATTTCCAAATTTTGTGACTTCATTTCTGTAAATATCTGTCTACCTTTAGATGGAGATTCTATCTTATTCATCTTTATATCTCTAAACCTGGGAGTTCATGCATGATCAATCAATGTTGAGTGAATGAATAGATGAGTGGATGACTCTAGACATAGTGAGTATGTGTGGTCTTACATTACTGTTTAGTAGTGATAAAACCTTCCTATACAAGTAATGATAACCTCAGTAACCTGCACAGCAAACATAAATTAGAGATAAGGCACTATTTTTATTTTTCACAGAAAATCCAATTGATGTGTGTGTGGTGGAAAGTAGATGGCAGAAGGGAAGCTCTGCTCCACAGATAATTCGGGAACTCAAGCTGATAGATGGTTTGCTGTCTGCAACACGTGGCTTTCAGAGTTATCCTAAGCCAGAAAATATAGCCAGCCAATGGACTGTGAGAGGTAATAAAGGACATCACAGATTGTTTTTTACAAACTATGCCTATAAATATGTTTAATTTTTGTCCATATTTCACTGGCCAGAACTCTGTACATGGGCCCACACAGGGAGATTGGGAATGTAGTTTGTTTCCCTGCAAACTACAGTAAGAAAGAGGAATATGATTTTTTTTGTGAGCAGCTAATTATCTTTGCCTTGAAAAGGAAAAGAAAGTTATATTTATTAAGCACCATTTAAGGTCAGGTGCTGGGCTAAATGTAAGCTATGCTACCTTTGTTTCATTATAATGCAGCATTTCTCAAACTATGTCCAGCAAAGCAATGATGTCCTGCACCATTCATGGTCTTCAGAAAAAAAAGGTTTTGCATAGCCCAATAAATTGAGAGAATGTTCGTTTAAACATATTTAAATAAATTTCTTTCCTGCAGGACTTCTCAGGGCCTTTAATGTATTAACATGCATTGACTCTCCAGGAATGCATAGAATATGAAGCATTTCCAAACTTTGTTTCATTGGAAATTACCTATGAACACTATGGGGCTTGGTTTCAGAAATGTTACGGCAATGGATACTCAATGATAGCAATTACATAAAAAGTTATATTTTTCAAGGTTCCTAATCATCACTCATTCTACTTATTTTTATAAAGAAAATATGATGATATTATCTGTAAATGAAATTACTTTCCATAAAGTCAGGCTGGGTGTGTCTGGGAAAGGGAGAAACTTTCCAGCTACAGGAAGGCTGTATTCCCAGGGGTCCTGTGGTGCCATCACCAGTCTTAGAGTTATAGAGTCATTGAATATCTTGCCTAGAGAGAACATAACATACCTGTATGAACTGCAGGCTGGAATCTGTATCCTGGCTTCCTGGAGAGAAAGAAGAAGAAGTGTTCCCAGCGGTAAACCATCACTGAGATCCCCGTTTCCTTTCTTCCTTTAATACAGGTTATTTGGACCACAAAGTATCAATCAAGATTCTCTTCATTAACAACAAGCATGACTTTGTTAAACACAGAGATGCTGTACTCAGACATGACTCATTTAAAGTGACTAATCATTACTCTAAGTTTTGGAAGTTACTGTTGGTAAAAACATGTACATGCCGTGGTGACTCCAGAATTTATATATAAGAAGTGGCTTGGGGTGCTGAGCTGGTGGGAGGGAGAAGAAAGAGGACTTGAAGCTGTGTTTGCCCAGCACATTTTATTACACTGAGGAAAACATCAATTATCAATAGCGATGAATGGGAATGGAGGAGGATGAGAGAAGCAACATTGGGACAGGAGGGAGGACTAAAGGACTCCCGTGTCTCCCTGAGGCCCCGTAGTTTATACATGCAAACTACAGGAAGGAGACGGATAGAAAGAGGGAAGGAGATGCACAGAAAGGATGAGGGCAAGAGCAAGAGCTGGGGAGAAAAATTAAGAGAAAGATCACCATGTTTTCATTAAGTTGTCGAGAAGCCAGAAAAGGACTTCAAGGCCACCTTGTCCAATTTCCTCTAAAAGGGCCTCTACTTTTCGTTAATGTTCATTCAGCTTCTGATCGTTGGCTTCCAATGACAGGGTGCTTATGCAGGTCAGCTCATTCAATTTTCAAACAACTCTAATTGCTAGAGGGTCCTTTTTTTATATTTGCTAAAGTATCTGTCCTCAGTGCTAACTTCTATGTATTGATTGTAGTTCTGCTCCCCTCCTGGCCTTCCAAATGATATAGAAAAGTCGTCCACATGACTGTCTTAAATATTTAAAGATAGTTAGCATGGACTCACTAAGTGTTTTCTTTTTCTTCTCCAAATATCAGCAGGCCTGTCACGTGTTCTTCAGAAATGATGATTTAAGAAAACTTCTCCATTCTTGTCACTCTCCTCTGGATACATGTCAGGTATTCAATGCCCTTCTTAAAATTCAATATGAAATAAGTACAATAAGTGTACGATATAACTAATGCTGTTGCATGTGAAGATAGCACTTTCAGGTAACTAGAATCTTTGGAGATTTGACAATGTTAATCTCCCTAGGGGAGAAAAGATGATCAGAATTTTGTATATTGGAGTACACCACATGGAACAGGGAGCAGCCACTGGACCTGCTGCTTAGGAACTCTCTGTCTTATATTCTCAGCCCTGCTGGACACGCCCTCACCGTGCTTCCTCCACATCCCAACCCATAGTACTCTCTGCTCAAGGTCCCTGAAACCATTCCTCATCTGACACTGGTATTCCTTGGTAATCTTAGTAGAAAAACATTCTAAAGCCACATACACATCAAAGCCTAATAGTTTGTGTGTGTGTGTTTGAGAGAGAGAGAGAGAAAATTATTGTTATCATTATCACATAAATAATTTGCTTTAGACTCAAGTGTGAAGACACTACTTGTTTCCCTGGACAAAGAAAGACATTATTTTTGATGAACTGACAGTAAGAAATTTACATTTACCTGATAGCTTAGGGTCCACCCTATGGTCCAGGTTTTATAATCGTATGAGCTCTTATGGCCTGCATTCGTGCCTACTTACCTGCCTCCCTGACAGTCTCATTCTCCTAGTCAAATTTTTTACTTTCCAATTTGTATTTTCTTGTTTAGAGTCTGACACAGTGCCCTAGATATCCTCGATAGAATGAATTGGGCCATAATTAACCAACTAAACCTACTTTATGATATTTTTGGAAAAGGTTTAATATATATGTTGTTACCAATATCATAAAATTAAAAGAAAAATATTATAAAGATTGTGTAGATTAAACTTGAGTGTACAATAAAAAATAAATGGCCTGATTTCCCCCAAAGGATATGGTCTTAGTAAGCCAGATAACAGCTGGATTCTACTCTTTGGGGCACATATAGAAAGAGGGCAAAGCACAGTTTTATCCGAAATACTTTGCTTATATAAAAATTATCAACCATATTCTGAAAAGGAAGATGGCCAGATGTGACAAAACCAGTAGAAGAAAATATTTTGGCACTCTTTCAGCTTCTAAAAAATAAGAGAAAGAAGAGAGAAGAGAAAACAAAAGAAGGGAAAGGAAAAGATAGGAAGAAATTATTTGAATGAAATGAACAAACAAAATTCAGTTCTGCTGGTGATTCAACCATAACTTAGCTTTATGTGTGTCCTTTGTAATGTGGTTGGCAATTGGCTAAATTGGCACACAGTGAAGCCACATCAGGATGAAAAACTTCCTTTGTGATGACGTTTCTTATTATTTGGTCGTTCTTTGTTATTTCTAGTTTTTCTAGCTCTTCAAAGTTAAACATTCACTATACAAAGGATACAAATGGGCTTTTGGAAAGTTAAGGGGGCGTGTTGTACTGATTAAAAATTATAACCAGGCATGTCAAATGACAGGGCTTTCCACAAGCCACTCAGTCAAGTGGGTGCCATGAATACAAATAAAAAATGGACATTTCCCAACTGAATTATCTTTTTTTCATTTTGAAAAGTGTTAGATTTTAGCAACCCTCCCCACTCCCTTGCATAATGCTTTACACCCAATGAATGCTAAGAAAAGTCGATGAGTGGATGTCTATTGTAAAAAAATTTCTGAAGTCAAAGTGCAATCTACAGCATCCGTCTTTAATAAACAGAAAAGAAATTGAATTCATTTAATAAGTGTTCCCATTCAGAATTTACTATAAAAATTCAATGTAATGAATTGCCTTGTCTTAAACAGTTAAAAGGTTTATCTATCTTTGATTTAAGTAGCACTATAATGACTTATATAAGGAGACATGGATAATTTAAAATGTGTCTCTATTTTGCTCTCTTTTAATCTTTCTACATTGTGTGAATAGATGGGGAAGCACAGAGGGATCATTACTAAATGGATACAGAAGAATAAATGAAATGAAGACGTCAGTGGCCAGGGAGTAGACTGGCTGCCTCATGGCTATGTTCTACTCAAGGCCGCTGATTCATGTAGGAAAATTCAAGGTGATTATGCTGACGCGGCTTCACAAGGAAGCCCTGCACAGCGGAATGGAGTGGAAACTTGGTCTTCATTTGACAAATTCAAGCTGTGTGGACAATCAATCTGAATTATTCTGAACCATTTCCCTTGACATCAAAGTTTTTCCACAGTTGCTTGAATCATGTTTTGATTCGGCTTCACCTCCCCTCTGTAGTCTATGATGTTTTTTAAAAAATATTAAATTTGTCAAATTGCATAGGAGGTAAAATTTCTGATACTATCATTATTAATATTCGAATCAAAGAATTTATATCTTTTAACCCTGAGATCTAGTCATTTATATTTTTGTTTAAGAAATTATTCACACATTAAAATACACTAGGTATTTTGAGATTACGTTGCTCTGGTAAAATTTAGCTAATTCTTCCAGGAATTGCTAATTAAATGGGTCAAAAAGATATAAATGACAGTTATATATATATATAGATATATATATCTATATATATATCTATATATACACACACATATATACATGATGCAAATAAAGATTTATTAATACTCAAACATAGCTAAGCAAACATCTTAGAAGGAATGTGCTTTTATTATTCTCATTTTGGAGATAGAAGAACTGAGGCAAAGTTGGGTCTTTTAACAGTAAAGTCTGAATTAACAGACTAATTTCCTATTGGTACTATAACAAATTATCACATAGACTTAAAACTATACTAATGTATTATCTTACAGTTCTGGAGGTCGAGAGTCCAAAATGGCCTTCACTGGACTACAATCATGGCATGCATTCCTTTTGGAGGCTCTAAAGGAGAATTTGTTTCTTTGCCTTTTCTAGCTTCTAGAATTCAACCACATTCCTTTGCTCACGTCCCTTTCCTCCATCTTCCAAGCAGCAGCACAGCATCTTCAAATCAATCTCTTTCTCTTCCTCCTACCATCCCTCTCTCTCTCTTTCTCTTTTTCTCTCACCTCTAGCTTCTCTCCTCACACCTCCTTCTCTGGTTCTTCTGCCTTCTCCCATCATCTTTTAAGGACTCTTGTCATTACATTGGGCCTCCCAATAACCTAGGGTAATCTCCCTATCTTAAAATCTTTAACGTAATCACATGTGCAAAGTCTTTTTGCCGTGTAAGGTAACATAGACGCAGGTTCTGGGGGATTAGGATGTGGACATCTTTTAGAGACATTTATTCTGTCTACCATAATCATCCTAGTAATTGGCAAGTCAAACAAAGTCACTGAGCCAAGAAGACTCAGGTCATCTGCTTCTTTACCTAATTCTCATTTTTCACCATATTGTGAGAGAGAGATCACAAGGACAGTCATGGCAAAGGGAAAATATTTGGAAAGAAATGCCCGCTTGAAGCCTACAGTGGTGTCACAGTAACTATTTGGCTCAGTAACTATTTGGTGACTGAGTGAACGACTGCTAACAGACGACTCAGTTGACTTAGTCAATCAAACATCCGGAACAGAACGACTGCTCAGTAATTTCCTAATATTTTGATACCACCTATAGTCACAACAAAGGGGCTTGTGGCCTATTTCCCTGCTCTCAAGAAGCTTAAAATCCCATTGCAGAGACAATTTTTACCATCCATGAAACCATTAAACGACTACCAAACCGGTAAATAAGAACTAAATTGTTTTTAGGGGTTTTCTGTCCCTGCTGTAAAGTCGGATAATAGGAGGAAAATCTGAAGAATCAGTGGGGTCCATACTACTAAGAGGAATAGTGGAGTCTTGGGAATGGCAGAGTTCATCAGAGACAAGAAAATCCAAGCATGGAGTCCACAAAAATAAATAAATAAATACAAGTTAAAAACTCACTTATGGCAAATACTCATTGGCTGTGGGACAGATTAGAGAAGAAAATCAAGATTCAACAAAGATCTATCTATTGAGTGCCTATTAAGTGCCAGGCATTATGCACATGCTGGAGAAAAATGTTGAAACCTGTATAGCTTGTGTTTATACCATGACATTTTGTTTTCTTGCAATTGCATTTTTTGCTTACAGCTTAAAATTAGGTGGAGGAATATTGGCTTAATTGTTATCCTGTAAGAAGTGTTAACACTTTCAGGATCAGTCTTGTGGATACTAGAATTTAGAGAAGAAAAGACAGTTTGAGCAACAGTCCAGGTATTGTGTTCTGCGTGGGCTGTCTTCCCTTGAATTTATGGAGTCTGTCACTTAAATATGCACTTTCTGATACTAAATATAAAGCCAATAATCTTGCTAGAGCTCTGAGAGTGTCGGCGGCTAAACTGAGAAGGCCAGCAGGGCAGGGCTGCTGGGCTGCAGTGTCTCAGATGTCAAACGAGTCTGAAATTGCGCCAGTTTTTCCTTCAAATAAAATGAGTCCAATAAATAAGATAATTGAAATGAGAGAGTTGGTAGCAGCCTCAATGAGTCAGAATAGGCTTCCACCTGCAAAGGCTGTGATGAGAATGGGATTTTTATCCTCTTTAGAAAAATTGGTTTTCTTAGAAAAAGGAGTGTAATAGCATGAGGTAGATTTTAGACAATTCAATAGAACACATTTTCAGAAGAAGGAAAGTCAAGTATGAGGAAGAGGAGAACAAAGAAATGCGTAGAAAGTGAAAACTCATAGGAAACCAACCAAACCTGCAAGAAACAGAGAACTCGTTCATTTTGTAACTTTCAAGCATTGTTATTATTTGGTACTTTAAGCACAGATTGTTGGGAATTAATTAGATAATTATACAGTTTTCCTCTTAAATTTAATGACTTAACTTGGATTTTTTGACCTAAAGATTATAATTGCAGTGGTTATTTGAAAAGGATATCTTATTTCTTTTGGTAGAGTTGGATTTTGAAATACAGAGAAAATTTAATTTTAAAAAATGTGATTAAAGTGAACTCCTATTTATATAAGACAATAAAGAAATGGGAAATTAAAATGTTTAAGCCCCAAACTTTCTAAAAACGAAATACAAAAATCTTTGGAAACGGA